AAAGGATGTTTTCTTAGTAGATTCACTAGGGATGTTGTATGGACTGTTTCAATGATCAAGGTTTATTTCTTCACATCTATGCTTGTATATGCACAGAACGTAGTCTTATCAGAGATTAAATAGACTGGGTCAGTTGGGGTTCTCATTTCTTCTTTGTCATACTCTGCATATATGACTTTGTAGATTGATATAGTTCATCTGTCTATATTCAGTGGAGTCAATGCTTGGAAGAGTGTATGGTAAATTCATAATCTTTATATGTCTACACAAAACAAAGTTTCAAGATTAGTCAAAAATGAAAATACTTTTGATATGTAGCAATAATAACAACAATAATGTTAATAATATTAGTACTCTAGAGAATTCAGGGATAGTTTTTAGATGTATGAATCATGCTTTGGAGGAAAAGGTTTGTAAAAAATGATAATACTTTTGATACACTTTAATATATCATAATAATATTGTACTATCATGGGCAGTCTTTACATGCATACATGAAATAAGAGCAAATGTCTGTGACAAACGAAAATACTTTTGATTCACCCTAATATATAATAATAATAATATGGTGGAGTGAAAGGTAGTTTTTAGATGAGTACATGAAATAAGCTTTAGAGCAAATACCTGTAATAAACGATAAAATGGTTTGGTATAGCTACATATGTTAATGAGTGACATTAAGTAGGGACCCCTTGAATTCTTAACCCTGTAATCATTCATTCTAATCAATAGTTTTTTTTTATTGAAATGCATTTTCACAGTCATTATCTGACATTTATAATTCTCCTTTTTCTAAACAGATTTTTTCCTTAGGTGAAAAAGTTTTATCGTCATAGGCTCAGTTCTCTCAGACAATTGTCTGATGCAGTCAACCAAAAATGCAATGAGATTAAATGTTAATTGATAATAATGGCTAGTCTGTTTATTTAAAGCAGACCTTACTTTGGGGATTACTTTCCAATAATTCTTCATTTTTTTTTTTTAGGTTTTCCAAGTTATTTTTTTTCTTAAAAAAAAAATTACCGTTAATCTTCTGGGGACTGTAGTTATCTCCCTTTGACAACTTTCATTGTTCTTGACGATTTGTGCTCTTGGTTCAATTTACTGTTTTCTCATAAATCATGGACGTTGCTGTCTGTCTTGTACAGGGCATTTGTGAAACCAATATTTTGCAACAGAGACAGATAGAATAAACCGATTACAAAATCAAGATAAACTATTGGGTGTAAAGTGGGATTAAAAAAGAGATTAAGAGAGAGAAAAGGTAAAGAAAAAAATGTGAAAGAAAAAAGTAAAGAGGTTGGAAAAGTAAAGAAGAAATAAAAGAAGAATAGATGCATGAAAAATACAAAGTGAGAAGATAAGGAAAGAGAAAAAGAAAAAGAATAAAGGAAAGAGAAAGAAAGAAAAAGAATGAACAGGAGAAAAAGAAAGAAAAAGATTTAAGGTAAGAAATGAAATGAATGAAGGAAAGAGGAAGAAAGAAAAAGGAAGAAGGAAAGAGAAAGAAAGAACAGAAGAAAAAGAAAGAAAATGATTGAAGGAAAGAGAAAGAAACAAAAAGAACGAAGGAAAGAGGAAGAAAGAAAAAGAAAGAAAAACAATGAATGGTAGAAAAAAGAATGAAGGAAAGAGACAAAGATAAAGAAAGAGAAAAGGAATGAATGGAAGAAAAAATTGGAGGAAAGAGAAAGAAAGTGAATGAAAGAAAGTGAAGGAAAAAGAATGAAGAAAGAATGAATAGAAGAAAAAAGAAAGAAAAAGAATGAAGGAAAAGAAAAAGAAAGAAAAAGAAAAAATGAAGTAAAAGAGAAAGTAAGAAAAAGAAAAAATGAAGGAAAAGAGAAAGTAAGAAAAAGAAAGAAAATGAATGAAGGAAAGAGAAAGAAAGATAAAGAATGAATGAAAGAAAAAAGAAAGAGAAGAGTTTAAGAAAGAAATAGGCATTTAAGAACGAATGAAAGAATGGAGAAGAAAAAATTCATAAAGGAATGAAGAAAGAAAACAGATTAAGAAAAAAAGAGAATTATAAGAAAGAAAAAGAATGAGTTTAAGAATGAATTAAAGAAAGAAAAAGAAGAGTTTAAAAAAGAAAAGAAAAAGAATGAAGAAAAGAAAAAATAATAAAGGAAAGAGAAAGAAAGAAAGAAAAGGAATGAATGGAAGAAAAAGATTGGAAGAAAGAGAAGGAAAAAGAAAGAAGGTAGGAAAAAGAAAGAAAAAGAATGAATAGAAGAAAAAAGAAAGAAAAAGATTGACAGAAAGAGAAAGAAAGAAAATGAAGGAAAAGAGAAAGAAAGATAAAGAATAAAAGAAAAGAAAGAGATGAGTTAAAAAAAGAAATAGGTATTTAAGAACGAATGAAAGAATGAGGAAGTTAAAGAAGAAAAAATTCATGAAAGAATGAAAAGAAAGAAGAGATTAAGAATGAAAGAGAATTATAAGAAAGAAAAAGAAAGAGTTTAAAAAGAATGAATTAAAGAAAGAAAAAGAAGAGTTTAAAAAAAAAGAAAGAAAAGGCTGCTGAAAAAGGAAAACAGAAAGAAGAGTTGTCTGATGGAAAAGAAGGATAGAAAGGACAAAATACATAGGAATTTAAATGATAAAAGATGTTGAAAGAAATAATTTTGTAAAAGTAATGTGATACCCAAATTCCAATACAGAAAGATGCTGAAGATACCATGGGCTGAACATGTGAGCAACAACAAAGTTCTAGATAATGGCAACAAAAAGGACACTTATACTTAACATCAGGAAGAAACAGTTGAAATTTCTGGGGTACATGAGGAGGAAAGAAGGCTCGGAAAATTCAATACTCACAGGACATATTAAAGTTAAGAGTGATAGAGAAAAGCAACATGTAACCTACCTAAAAGTTTGATAAAGGATGGCAGTAAAGGGTTTGGGAGAGATGGCAAAAAGACCATTTATTAAGTGCTACAAAGAATAGAAAATTGTGAAGATCCATGATCTCCAACATTCTGAAACGACAGAGCACATAGAAGAAAAAAAAAGAAGGTGGAAGAATTTAACACTCTTTACATTATTTGGGCTATTGTCTTCATCTTTGTCGCCATCTTTATCACAACATTTCGGCCGTTTTATGCTCCGGCCTTCTTCAGGTGGTTGGTATGTCGAACTGAACCCTTTATTTCACTCACTGGGGTAGACTGTTCTAGTTCCATGTGCCATGTCTAATGGATGTCAGTTATCTCCTGTTAATTCCCCTCTGAAAGTTCTCCACTGCCTTAACCAGTTATTGAACTTACACTCTTTGGGTCCTGTCACTGGATCTAACTAGCGCCTTTATCCACTGTGCTATGTGTCCTTCCAACCACCTGAAAAAGGCCAGAGCGTACAATGGCCAAAACAGTTGTGATAAAGATGAAGACAATAGTCCAAATAATGTAAATAGTGTACATAATACCTCATCTCAGAAATATAGACAGATTCGGAAGATTTTAAGTTTGATACATCAAGCAGTTCATCTTAAAATCAGAGTCCTTAGGAATAATAAAAAGTATTGTGCACTTGGCAGAAGTTTTGAAAGGTTACAATATCTGGTATTTCCTCATAAATTAATAGCACCCTTACAAGAAAAAAGCAGATTCAGTATTTTCCTAAAGATATGTTGGAAGTTTTGCAAGGTTATTACTGCCAAGTGATTATTAATTTAGAGGGCCTTTAGAAGAAATCAAATTCTTTATTTTGCAGCAAGTAAGCAAGACATTTTGCTAAGTTTATATATCCATTAATTCATCCTAAATTAGGAATGCCCTTAAAAGAAGAGAGAAAATTCTCTTTCTGATGGCTGAGACAAGTTTTGCAAAGTTAATGCATCCAGAAACTGAACTGAAATTAAGAGTTCTCTTAGAAAAAAAAAGCAAATTCTGTATTTCCTGGTTGCAAGTTGAATACATCACAAAATTACTTTTAAAGTAAGAGAGCTTTAAGAAGTATAAATGAAAAATTAAAGATCGAAAAAAAAAAATTAATAAAAAAAAAGCTGATAAAATCACAATAAAACAAAAAAAACATTCATTGAACCAAGTCTTAGGAGGATATCAATCTTTGTGGAATATCTCAAGCAATTTTTTTTTCAAGTATTTATCAGAATTTCTGGAAGGTCATATAATTTCTAGAAGACTTTTCAGTCTCTCAGCACATTTATCATTCAGAGAAATGCTTGTCTTTTCCCTCAGACGAATGTCAAAGCAAACAAGAAATAAAACCCTTAATGCATTCAGCTTCAGAAATTTCACATAATTTTTTATAAAATAATTTGATATTTTCTTTAAAAAGTACAAATCTTTTTTCATTTTATTTTCAAATCTTTAAATACCTTTGAAAAAGATACCTTACAGAAAAATTTAATTTAAATTTTAATTGTTAAATATGCAAAAATTCTTAATAAGATAAAGTCTTCTAGAAATGATATGATCTTCCAGAAATCCCACTAAATACTTGAAAAAAAATTTGCTTGAGATATTCCACAAAGAGAGATATCTTCCTTTTAATTCAGGTGAACATATTATGTTATATTCACCTAAATGTTTGTTCTAGACACAAAAAATATTTAATCTATATAAAATAGCTTTTATCAGCACATTGGTTTTGACATCTACTTTTGAAATATTTAAAAATCTTTTCACATATTTTAAAAAGAAAAAGAAAAGATTTATTTTGCTTTTGAAAGAAATAAATATATTTTAATGATATAAAAATATTTTCATCTAGAATTAAATGCTTTTCAAATTGCTAAAGATCACTTTTTGTTTTTAAAATGTTTCTTATTAACACGTTTTTTTAAAGATTTCAAAATGTTACACATGTACTTTCAAAAATTATTTGGTATTTGAATTTATTTTTCTTTCTAAAAGAATAAAAGAAAGAGAAAGAAAGAAAAAGAATGAATAAAAGAAAAAAGAAAGAGAAGAGTTTAAGAAAGAAATAGGCATCTAAGAACGAATGACAGAATGAGGAAGTTAAAGAAGAAAAAATTAATAAAGGAATGAAGAAAGAGAAGAGGTTAAGAAAGAAAGAGAATTATAAGAAAGAAAAAGAAAGAGTTTAAGAATGAAAGAAAAAGAAGAGTGAAAAAAGAAAGAAAAGAAAAAAGAATGAAGAAAAGAAATAATAATAAAGGAAGAGAAAGAAAGAAAAGGAATGAATGGAAGAAAAAGATTGGAGGAAGGAGAAAGAAAAAGAATGAAAGAAAGAGAAAGAAAGAAGAAGAAAGAATAGAAGAGAAAAGAAAGAAGATGATTGACAGAACGAAAAAGAATGAAAGAAAAAAAGAAAGGAAGAAAAAGAAAGAAAGAAAAAGAATGAATGAAAGAAAAAAGAAAGAGAAGAGTTAAAGAAAGAAATAGGCATCTAAGAATGAATGAAAGAATGAGGAAGAAAAAATTCATAAAGGAATGAAGAAAGAGAAGAGATTAAGAAAGAAAGAGAATTATAAGAAAGAAAAAGAATGAGTTTAAGAATGAATTAAAGAAAGAAAAAGAAGAGTTTAAAAAAGAAAGAAAGAAAAGGCTGCTGAAAAAGGAAAACAGAAAGAAGAGTTGTCTGATGGAAAAGAAGGATAGAAAGGACAAAATACATAGGAATTTAAATGATAAAAGATGTTGAAAGAAATAATTTTGTAAAAGTAATGTGGTACCCAAATTCCAATACAGAAAGATGCTGAAGATACCATGGGCTGAACATGTGAGCAACAACAAAGTTCTAGATAATGGCAACAAAAGGACACTTATACTTAACATCAGGAAGAAACAGTTGAAATTTCTGGGGTACATGAGGAGGAAAGAAGGCTCGGAAAATTCAATACTCACAGGACATATTAAAGTTAAGAGTGATAGAGAAAAGTAACATGTAACCTACCTAAAGGTTTGATAAAGGATGGCAGTAAAGGGTTTGGGAGAGATGGTAAAAAGACCATTTATTAAGAGCTACAAAGAATAGAAAATTGTGAAGATCCATGATCTCCAACATTCTGAAACGACAGAGCACATAGAAGAAAAAAAAAAGAAGGTGGAAGAATTTAACACTCTTCATTATTTAGGTCTTCATCTTTGTCACCATATTTATCACATTTCAGCAAAACTTTGTACAGAAGTTTCAAGTATCTCTTTTATTCATCAAGATTGATAACATCATTATTCAGTCATCAACTTTCACCACTCACAATGAAGGAAGGCCCTGTGCTTTAAGCACCAAATGGGAATCATACATACACCTCCATTGCTAAAGATGCTAGACAAATGGTCAGCTCCCTGTACCACTTCAGTAAGTACCTGACTCCTCCCACTATCCTCTACCTTTACCTGAGCCAGGTCAGGTCGAAAATGGAATACTGTTGCAATATATACAGGCATGAGTCCCCAGTTTTCACTTTCCACCCTCGATAACAAATGTCTGACACAAGACCCTAAAATATCTGTGAATCTCCCATACCTGCTCTCTGTTTACCCTGTCTCATTTATAACATGGAGATGGGCCTTCACATGCTACCAAATCCCCAGTCATCTTCCTGAAGCACAAAATGTTTTTCTTTCTATGGAGGATGCTAAGGAATATAATCTAATGTCATCGTTTATTTTAAATTTCACGGTTAGTCTTATATTTTTGAGCATTCTTAGTTTTTTGTATTTGTTTATAAATACATGTTGCAAACTAAAATCCTTGCCTTGATAAAGTCCATCAGAAGATGAAACTCATCAATAATGAAAAGTTTTCCTTTTACCTTTATTCATATATAGTACTAGCAGTAGTGCCCGGCATTGCCCGGGGATGTAACAGTAAGAGATAGATCAAGTATCGACCATCATAAAGACTGAAAAATAAAATTGGCAAAGATTATTATTTAAGGTTGACGGACAGGCATGTCTTAATTAGTTTTTTTTTGTTTTGTTTTTTTTTTTTACGAATTGGTCAAACCCAAACTCAAACAAAAACATTGTTTTCAATCGTTATGAGTCTACCCGATTGAATAGAATTTTATTATAAACAATTGTCTTGTAAATGGAATTTTTTAAAGCATTCTGAATGTAAAAAAATAAAAAAAAAAAAGTGTGCAAGACAATAAGAAACACTACATGCCAAAAAAAAAAGTGAAGTTTTGTTGAAATCGGTTGAAAAATGTAGGAAATCCGATCCCATATATAAAGGAACACACACACACACACACACATGCAAACAACCTGGGTTTTATAATAAGTATAACTTGATATGAGTTGTCACCCTTTCATTCTCACAATGCCTCTTAATCGTGTTTTCATACTGATTTCATGCAAAAACATTTGTGTTTTTCCAATTTTTGGCGCTGTCAGAACCACTGCAAGGTAATTTTACATAGTCCTGTGAAGTTTTGTTGAAATCGGTTGAAAAATGTAGGAAATCCGATCAAATATATAAACGTACCGACACACACACACACAACCTGGGTTTTATAATAAGTATGATTTTTACAGACAGATTTTATTTATATCTAAATCTTTATGAACAAATTTTTATCGCTTTAAAGGTTATTTTTAGTTATTTGAGTAGACTCTCCATTTATTTATTAAATAGTATATTTATTTATTTTCATGGACTTGCCTGAATATTTGAGAAATCTTATCGAAGAAAAATATGTGCTTGCCAACAGGATTCGAACTATACTGTTTAATGAATAAAGTAAAAATAAAACCTGAGTAATAAAAATAAAAATAACATTAAGTAATAAAATCTGTCAGATTAATAAATAAAAATCCATCACTTCTTTAGAAATTGCTATATATATATATATATATATATATATATATATATATATATATATATATATATATATATATTTCATTGAATACAACAGACAAGGTGCTTTTATTTAGTTTTTTATACAATTTCTCATGCGATCTAATAATTTTTTTCTCTTCGGATGATAAATTACATAAAAACTGTCCGAATGATGTTTTTATCCGAGCGCTTTCGGCTATACATTAAGCCATTTCCAAGGATTAAATATATTAGGCATTTCCTGCCTAAGGTAGCTAATAGCAATGGTGAGAACAGAAACATAAACAATAACATTAATATTTTAATATAAATCAGATGAAGGAAAATTATAAAAAGGATGAATGCAGAATTAAGAAAATTATAAAAAAATACATAACACCAGTTGACAATAGCAAAAATATTAGATTATATATATATTTATTTATTATATTATATATATTTAAAATTTGTGTATATAGCAATCCTTCTTTCATGAATTTCATTGAATACAACAGACAAGATGCTTTTATTTATTTTTTTATACAATTTCACATGTGATCTAAAAATTTTTTTCCTTTTGGATGATAAATTATATGAAAAATGTTTAATTATTCTTTTTATTCGAGCGCTTTCGGCTATACATTTAGCCATTTCCAAGGTTGAAATATATTAACTGTTAAATAAGAAATAGTTTGTTGCATGTATATATTCATATAATATTTTCATTTTCAAAACACAGTCAAGATATTGTGTCCATGTTATTTATTATTATTATTGATATTATTGAGCATTGTTTTTTTGTTTTTATTAATATTGTAGTATGGCTTATATGAAGGCACGAAGACTCACTCTACACCTTTCTGACCATAGCTCAATTAGATCTCATTTAAATATTCATGGAGACCTATCAGAGACTATTCATAACATACTTGTTGACAACACAAATATAATAGCATCATCTACATGTAAAAAAAGACTAAAAATAATGGAAGCCTTATTAATAAAAACAAAATAAAACAACACTCGGTAATATCAACAATGAACATGGACACAATATCTTGTATGAAAAAACTAAATCAAAGCACCTTGTTTGTCATATTCAATGAAATGTGCATGAAAGAAGGATTTCTGCCTAAATACACAAAATTTATATATATATATATATATATATATATATATATATTTTTTCATATATATATTTAAGACATTTTTATGTTTATACATTCTTTTATAGATTTATAGATACAAATATTTAAGTAAATGCTCTGTTTATAATAAACAATATTAAACAACATTTACAGGCCTGAATGTCTGAGAGAAATTTTCATAGAAATTATTCATCCTCTGACAGGAATCAAACCTGTATCCTATACGGAACCGTCATATAGCTGGACATGCCTTTAACCGATTTGGCCAGAGAGGAGCGTTCAATTAGCAAGGTTGATTTTGCTGTCTTTAAACTACAATCTTCCATGAATCTTTCACATACATCCATATCTGCTCATGGCATATCCAAATGTAAACAAATGACGTCACACATTATGAAATGGACAAAATCCGACAATTATTTTAAGACATTTTTATGTTTATACATTCTTTTTATAGATACAAATATTTAAGTAAATGCTCTGTTTTATAATAAACAATATAAAACAAAACATTTACTGGCTTGAATGTCTGAGAAATTTTCATAGAAAATATTCGTCCTCTGACAGAAATCGAACTTGTATCCTATACAGAACCGTCATATAGCCTGACGTGCCTTTAATTGATTTGGCCACAGAGGAGGGTTCAGTTAGCAAGGTTGATTTTACTGTCTTTAAACTATGACGCTATATATATATATATATATATATATATATATATATATATATATCCTTCACAAAAGTCTTATTAAAGAGTATAGTTATTTTGTATCTATTCTGTTTGTTCATTATATATATATATATATATATATATATATATGTAAAAATGTAAATGGATATAGATCCGACAGAATGAAGAAAAATTTGGAAAAAACAAAAAATCCTTAAATGCAATTATATTGTTTAAAATGAATGAAATTTCATTCATTTTAAACAAATATAATTGCATTTAAGATTTTTTGTTTGTTTTTTCCAAATTTTTCTTCATTATATATATATATATATATATATATATATATATATATATATATCCGTGAACTTGCATCTGTATGATACAATGGTACAAGGGTTTGAAAGTAATACTTACTGTTTTACATTAGTTGATAATCTCTAATGTAGATTCTGTTTATAGAGACCAAATAGTGGATGTGAACACAGTTAAACACTAGGTAATGCATTTCTGAAGTGTACATGTGCCAGGCATATTGCTGTGAACCCATGAAATGAAGAAAGCTTAAAAATTGCATAGCCAATAGCAGTGACTGGGTGAGAAAACAGTGCTTTATGATGAAACTTGCTCTCATCCAATGGTGCTATTGTGCTCTCTGTATCTAATGTATTTTACATATAATTGCATATACATATATCTAATTTCACTGACATATACATATAAGCAGATAGTATTGATTAAACATGTATTCTTTAAGCAAATGTTGGTGTGCAGAAGCAAATAGTGTTAATGCGCAATGGTTAGAT